TCAAAAGGTACAAGCATGCTCTTTTGCAACATATGCTTATTCCAGTGAAGGTTACAAAAGAAAATCTCCAGTAGATTTAATCTACAGTCCTCTTTTTAGCAGCAATAAGCACTCTCCTCTGATATATGCATTTGTCACTCATTGCAAAGCAGCTGGAAAAGCAGCTGGAAATCTGATCACTTAACTATTGTGAAATTAAGGTCTGTATCTTTTTATTAACTTATTTTTGTAGATGCATATCTCTCAAAATTCCTTGCTGGCTACATTTAAGTAAAATGTGTGGTGCACTTAATAAAACAATTCAAAATGGCCTGTTTGATGATTATTTACTAAAACTTGCTTCTCTGGAGTAATCTGGACATACATATAAATGAAAGATCTAAAGTATGCAAGCTTTATATTGTCATTTTATGTATATTTATGCAGAAACAAGTTCAAATAAATTGGCATTTACTGTTAGAAATGAGTGCAGGATTTCCTGAAGCAGTCTACATAGTCCCCACAAAGTAGAACTCCAGACTCCTATTGTAAATCTGGCATGGATCCAGACGTTCCTTCCATTTAGGGAATGGCATTCTTTTTATAGATAAGACATTCTCATCTCCCTCTTACCTCTGTGGCCTCCTTTACCCTTGTAAATCTGCTCCTGAAGCTAAGAAGACCCAATGAAAATGAGGGCATGGACAACCACAAAAAGAGAGGAAATTTAAACACTGGAGCAGTTGAGACACCTGTATGAACAGAAGACCCTTTCATACCCTACTGTGCCAAATAATACTGGAATTAAGAAAACTGGCTCATATCAAATTAACTCGTGCCCTATTGAGTTCTCTGACCTGCTTTTTTCGATCAGTGATTTCAGGCAAGAGACAATCTGTATTTTATTCAGATATGCTAGAGATTGAAATTAGGTCCTTCTGCATGTTCGCAACCATAAATATAAAAGTTGTAGCATTTTGCCATTTTGTTCCATCTGGCTCTGTCACATGGCTCTTACTGGTTGCCTGCTAAGAGAGAGGTTCAATGTGAAATTGGCATTGAAAGCCAAGATCATTTCTCTGGAAGGACCCTGTTTTTACCAGTCTGCCAAAGGTCAACTTATGATCATTTCAGGCATGAGGACTAAAAGTAGAAAACTTCTATTTGTAAAATGGGAGTGATGGTTACCAAAAGAACGGGATGCCTTTGAAGATAAATAAGGTCAAATGTAAATGATAATGACCTGTCTTCTCTTGCTCAATTTTCTTCTTATGGTGAGGATTAAAAAACCCAACTGGCTGTTGAATGGGACACAGCAAAGCTGCCTCTCATAGATGGATGGCATTGAACCAATGGTGCCAGAAAAGGAGAGTAGAACCCTATGCAGAATTCCTCTCCCAAACTATAGAGGAAAGGCAACAAACTGAAAACAGAACTTCAAAAGGGAAAACAGAGTCCAGTTAACAATCAACCCCACCTCGCCTTGATGCAAATGTGGTGTGATGAGGTTCATTGCTGCTTTTATTTAATTCCTGTCATTTTCTTTCTACATGCTATGCCATACATTCTGCTAGAAGCCTTCTACCACTGCTATAAGCGATGGGACACTAGTGGTTCCCAGACCAGAAACATCTATTATGTAAACATGCAACTACTTGATCTCAAGGCCAACAAGTGCAAAACCAAGTATCTATTAATCTGGAGAAGTGGAAGGAAAAATGCTTTGAGAATATAATCAACTTCTACATCCTGGCATATCAGTGGGCATTCAGCTGTTGTATATCACTCCAGTCTTGTCTGCAATAAACAGTCGAATCCAGCTAAGCCATACCTGTAGGTCTTTCACCAATTCTGATGTGATTTTATGAAAGCAAGCTTGGTTTCTATATGTGTCGCAAAGGAGAGTTTTATTGACTTATTCTTTGGGGAGAAATATGGCCTTCTTGCTCTCATTTAGACACAAGGTTGTCAAAGGATGTGTGTGAATGTCCTGTTTTTCATTATATAAACATTTCTTCAGCTTTATGTCTTCCCATATTTTCAAGAGCTCCCAGTGAGAACCACCCTAACTAGGCTTTTGTAAATGGGAAAGTGTGGTCATCCAGGAAGACTTCAGAGTGATAAAAAAAATAGGTTACAGGGGGAAAAAAAAACAGCAACAGAATATTCTATCACTTCCTGAAATAAATTCAATAGCACTACCAAAACAAATTTGAAAAAAAATTCCCAAGACCCCTGAGAATATGCTAAAAAAGCAAAAGCTTCTTTAGCAAGGGAATATAATTTTTAAATACTTCAAGATATTAATGTTACATAAAGACTTAGTCCTTATGGCTTGTTCAGTACAGTATGATTAAGAGTACTGGATTAATGCAGTATATGGATTTGACTAATCTATGATGGCTGTGTTAATTAGACAGGCATGCATCTATTCACAGGTATACATATGAAAACATACAGGCACATACATATTATACCTGCATCTTTTCACACATACAGTATATTCCAAACTGGCTCACCATGTATATACTATCCTTCCCAACTGTTCTGTTCCAGATTGCTATTCTTGAGCATAAAGATGGAAAGGGGGAAGTTTTACATCCTCCTCTCCATTACAGTTAGCAATAGGGAAAGTGCAGTTTATTCCCTGCTGCCCAGCTGAGGTGTAATCAACTGGATATCATAAAAATGTGAACTGAAGTACCAGACAAGCAGGCTACAGGACAACTTACACCTGCAAATAGCTCACATGTGCTTCACCACACATGTCACCAGTGGAAGCATGGAAAACTGAATTAGAATGAAAGCAGAACATGTGGTCTTTCTAGATGGCAGGCCAGAAAAATGAAAGATGAACAGTGGGAGGAGGTTGGGAAAAAGAAAAAATGGAGCCTGGTTCAAGAAGTTGTTTATTGCTCTGGGTACCCTCCAACCATATTTAAATTTTCATGATTTGATGAGTAACATTGCATATAGTGCATCCAACTTGTGGGGAAGCAAGAGCAAGCTCATGTATCAATTCAGGCAAGCATACGCAAAGAGAGGGCAATGTGGAAAAAGATTTCTATGGCTTACATTGAATCTATAAAACCAGTAGAAATCATGAGGGCACCTTTACCTTGTTGTGGTCTTAAAAGAAGAAATTCCTTTAGACCATACTCAGGAAAATCATTTGGCATCCCTGATATCAACAGGTGAAGGACAGACACAAACGTGGTACAAACAGGCCTTTTTCCTGTTTTGAGTTAGTCACTTTGTGTGCTCCTTTCAAACCACTTTCCTTAAAATCTATATTCCCTTAGCCAGCATGTTTTTCTTCAGAATTTGTCCTATTGGAAGCTATATGCTGCATATTTAAAAAAAACACTTCAAGAATTTCAGGCATTCTCATGCCTCTTGTGGATTATTTGCTTTTCAGTTGGTTTGTTGGCTTTGTTTGGGGTTCAGATTTGCTCCCACCCCCGCCCCCTTGAAGCTAGCCAACAATATGGCACTACACTACCCTTTATGTATATATGTTGCATAATTATGAAGACGCGAAGTATTTATCACCTTTTTGGAGCACGAAGCAGAAAGAAATACAATACTATTACTTCCAGCCAGTGGCTTTCCCAAGATAATTAGATAACACAGTGACTGAAGCCTTGGTTAGTCCAAGGCTTTTCAAGTTAAGTGATTGACATGCCTCTGTCTGGCTGCTCTATTAACTGTTTCATTTTGTTGCTATTTGCAGTTTGCTTGGCTAATACTTCGAACAAATACAGACTGTTTCTTTAGCCCCTTTTTTCTCTTTGACCTTCTCCTGCCCATTTTCTTTGAGTCACTTCAAGCTGCCTTGAAAAGGCCCGTTGAATGGGCACAGTCCATCAGAGTCCCAGGTTCATCCCCTTTGCGGCCCTGAATGCTCCACTTCAAAGATGGGCCGCATTCTTTAATTGCCCTTTGAATTAATATCAAAGGGTCACAATGCGAGTGCCAAAAGAGAAAGAGTCTTTAATGAAGCAAAGAGCTACCATTCATTTGCAGATAAGCACGTTTTTATGCCTGAATGGTCACCACCAGGGCTAAACGCTTCTGGAAGAAGAGGAGATGGGGGAGAGGGAGTCTGAAGTGGTGATTAGTTCAAACAAACAAGAGTAAACAAATTTTCTAAAAAGGAAAAAAAGAAAATACAAAAGGCCCCACCCCATCCCAACAAGGGAAAATAAGTTAATATGGTGGCATGTGTTAAATGCCACAACAGGGGCTGGAAGAGGCCAATCCCTTTTTGGAGAGAAAACAAAACCAAATTCCTTCAATCGTTTTGTAGATTTCTGATCTACTCCCATTCTCATCCTGCTATTTGTTTATCAACTTAAGGAAACTTGTCCCTTTCTCTCTTTCTGCCATCTCAAAATTGAGTTTATTCAAAGTTTGGGGAATTTTGACTCAGTATGAAACTTTGCCTGGGAATACACAAGAAGATTCCCTGATGGAATAGAAATAATACCTTCAAAAATTAATTCATGGAGATTGAATGGGTGGGATGTGAAGGCTGGGTTTCTTCTTTTTTAGTTTCACATAGTGTAATTTTTTTTTTTCCTATTCTAGGTTTGAAAAAGAAAACATTAACAATGTACATGAGTACATTTGGAATTAAGGTAGCATTTGAATTGAGAAAAAAATTAACTTAGAAGATAAACCTAATGCCTTTTTTTCTAAATGCTTAAGCATGTTCTTGAAAAACTGTTAATATAGAGTACTGCTTCTGCTCTATATTATCCAGCTATTTCAAATATTTTTGTATATTTGCCTTGTGCAAAATGGGAAGACCTGTTCAGCCTGAACTCCAGTCTTCTTTTTAATAATGTCATTTTGGTGTTTGCTTTATTTAAAAAGAGAAAAACATGGAAGTGCATGATGTTAGATCTTGTGTTTTTTGTATAACGAATTCAGGAGCTTTATTTTCATCCAGTTCTTTTATATTTATTTGTAATTTAAAATGTACAGAATTCATTGAGACTCTTCCATCAAAAGTAAACTTACTGGGGCTACAGCTTCCTTTCACATTCTTGAGTTCAGTTAAGTGGAAGACCAGACCTCCTGCTTTACAGTTAGAAGCAACTGACTGTAGCACATTTACTAGAACATATGCATAGTGGGACATGGTGCAATTCTGAGGTCCAATGGCCTAGGAAAGTCCAAAAACAATTCCACAGACAGGCTACAGTAAAAAAGAAGATTTACACCTCTAGCTACTTCAGTTGATTGGTTACGTATACCAAGTCAGTGACTGACCAGCTTAGAGATAGGCTACGGAAATGTGGCACATATTTTTTAAACTGGTTTACACAGAACTGTTTCCCCAACTAACTGAACACTGTGGCCTTTTTCATCTCTGTTGGTTGGCTGATGGCAGAAAGGAAGAAAGAGGAGTGATGGCAACAATAGTTAGGAATGGGAGATGGTGGTGTTACAATGGAAGCAGTGGCACAGAGGAGGAGAAGACAAAGGATGGAGGAGAAAATAAGAACAAGATGAGAGAGCAGATTGAATAGGAGGTCAGCCAGAAGGAGCTACCTGACATGAGAGTATGCCCAGGGCCTCCTCAAACCTGTCCGAGTTGTGCTGGCAACTCCGTTATTGAATGTATATTCAAATGCCCCATTTTTAGGCTCATAAGTGATTTAGAAGGTGAGAAGGAAATATGGCAAAGTGCAGTTATAGGACTTCTTTTTTTCCTAATCAAAGCACTACCAGAGTAATTATCAGATGTTACTTGTGAGGTGATAATGAGGCTTTCCAATTTTATTTTTGATTATGGCAAATTAAAGAGAGGCTGTTGGAATGAAGAAAACTATTAAGCAGATGGAGGATACTTGCTTTTGTATATATCATTTCTGCTTTACTCTAGCAGTTTAAACAATAACATTGTTGCTTTTCTTCTTTGCTGCATCTGTGTGGATAGATCATATGACTGACAATTCTTCAAAGGGATGTTTCACTTTGACAAAGTTTTGTAGGAAGCATTCCCTCAAAACAAGTTTGCCAAATGACATGACCCCAAGCTTCTACACAGTGGAACATCTGCTGTGGAATGTGCTGGAAGAAGTACTTTGTGCCACATGAATCCCATTAAGGAAGAGAAGCTTGTCAGCCCCACACCTCAACAAAGCAAATCCTGCCCACCTCACACTGGTCTAATATATACCATTGGATGTGAAGAAGGGCAACCAAGAGGGTCAAGTAAGAAGAGCATGCAGGACTTGTTATTCAATGAAGACGAGCACAGCTACAGTGCTCGTCTTCAGTGCCTCCTAACCTGGAAAAAGAGTCCCACTGAACATAATGGGACTTACTTTGGAAAAGACATGTATAGACTTGTGCTGTATGGGAGTACATGATGGAGATTTTTAACATAAAACTCGATATGAAAAATGTTAGCCAGCAGAAAAACTTCGTTCTTCTCTCATAACACTAAAACTTAGAAACCACCAGCAAAACTGATGGCAGGACAGAAGAAGGAAGTATCTACATTTGCATCATTAATTTTATGAAACTCAATATCCATAAGGTGTGACAATCCTCCCTAGCTTGAATGGATTTAAAGCAAGGCTGCATAACTTTTCCTACACTGAGAATCAGACTTTATTTTGAATATCATACCAGGAGCTGCACTCTAAAAAAAATGAGGAGAAAGGCCAAAGCTACATTTGAGTTAATTTAATCAAAATTAAATATAGTTAATATGACTCACTGATCATGGATTGAATAATTTCCCCTTCTGTCTCATTAAATATTTTGGGGGTCACATGCAAAGCTTTCAGAAGCCATATGCAGCCTTGGGACACATTCAGGACATCTGCCTCTGGCAACTATTTGGAATGTCCAGGTTCATAAGCTTTTAGGACATCCTGCTGGCCTGTGTATGAAACCAGGACACTGATTTGGTGATCTTTTACTACCTTGCCTTAAAGTGGCTACATAGAACTCTTCTAAAATTGAATAATAAATATTGGTTTTGGAGTCCTTGTCAATTTATGTTGGTCTATTGTAATTGGAGAATTTGAGGTTGTGGTTCAAAGAAATTTTTTAAAGTTCTCCCTATTCATTATGGTCTACAAAATCAAAGGAAAAGAAAAATAAATGCTATAACCAATGACTAGTGAAATTCTTTAAGCTATATAAGGTTCTAAAGGCATTCTTGGTGGCTACTCCATGTTTTGGAATTCCCTGCCAACAAAAATCAAGTAAGCTCATTCTCTATTATCCTTCTACGGTCAGGCAAGACCGTTTTTATTCAGGCAGGTCTTTGATGTTACAGGCTTATTTCTTGCTGAGTTGGGTACCTGTCTAGTCTAATAATGTGATTTTAATTACTATATGTTTTATTTCTGTTTTTAACTGGTTTAACTTGTTCATGGAACAGTGGGAGAGTACGTTAATTAAATGAAAAGTGTATTGATTGTAATATGGGGGATCCTCACTCTGAAGATTTGAACAGCTTAATCCTATTCCATGTGAAGTGAATCACATTAGATTTTAGTGGAAATAATGTGCATTTGCTGGATCCAAGCACCTTCAGTATAACTACTTTGGAGCCTCCTTTCCTATCAACACCTTTAAAACTTTGTTACAGTTGTTGGGGAGAATGTCTGTGATTAAGATGAATGTTTTATCTAGAATGTTATTTTTGTTTCAGACAATACCTGTCTTGACAATTGATGCACCATTTAAACAATGGCAGGAGGACATATCTAAATTTGTATGGCAGGGGAAAAAAACATGAGTTAAATATAAGGTCTTACAAGATGCAAAGGAAAGAGAAGGATTGGGTTTACCTGACTTGAAATTATACTTCTCTACTTGTTATTTAGTTTGGATGAAAGAGTGGGTGTTGCTGAGAAATAGAAGGCTCTTGGAGTTAGAAGGACACAATCTGAGATTTGGGTTGCATGGATATTTGTGGTATGATAAAGCTAAGGTTAATATAGATTTTAAAAATCATTATGTCAGACATGCCATTTTGAGTATATGGAATAAATACAAATCCAGGTTGTGCCCAAAAACACCTTTGTGGCTCTCAGTACAAGAAGCGTTTTACAGACAAGAAATGATAAGTAAACATAAATGGTTAACTTATTCTTATATATTAGAAGTTTTTCAAAGAGAATGTAAAATAAAATCAAGAGTAGATTTGGTAACAGAGGGATATGTCAATGGTTTTCCTATGTACAACTATCAGAAAGGTTTAAAGTAGGCAAAATAATTTGTGGTTTGAGCAATGTAAGACTGAGTTGGAAACAGAATTATGTACAAATGATAAACATGGTATTACCAAAGTGTATAAATTTTTATTGAAATTTGAAACAGACAAAGAACAAATGAAAGAATGTATGATAAAATGGGTTAAAATTTTGGTTACAATATACAAATGGATCAATAAGAAAATATGTGGTTGAAAGAATTGAAATATACATTATGTTTTAATCTTAAAGAGAGTTTTTTTTTAATGGTATACCATTAGTATATGTCACCAGAGAATTGTCTAGAATGTATAAAGGTACTTCAAATTTATGTTGGAAATGTGAACAACAGGAAGGGACATTTTATAATGTTTAGTGGACATGTAAAAAAGCCAGAAAGTTTTGAATGCAAATAAATACACTAATTCAGAAGATCTTAAGGACTAATACACAATTAAAACCAGAGGCTTTCCTTTTGGGATTGATGGACAAACAGAAAAAAGTCATGAAGCGTTGTTTTTATATATGATAACTGCAACAAGATTATTATATGCTCAAAAATGGAAAGACTCAGCACTACCTACAGTGGAGAAATGGTTGGTGAAGATAATGGAACTTGCAGAGATGGCCAAACTGACTTCCTTGATTAAGGAAAAAAAAATCTATGTTTATTGCTGACTGGAAACCCCTTATGGACTTTTTGCATTAAAAAAAAAAAATCTTATGATTTATGGCTTTGATGATTAGAAAAAATAGATAATAGATAAAAGAGAGTTTTTCTTTTTTGTAACCATAAACCAAAAGGTAATTTTTCAATGGTACTTATATTTGCTGAAAAGAAAATCAGAAGCTACTTCTTTCTATTTCATTTCATTCTTTCTATTTGCACTTTTTGCCTTTTTCTTTTTTCTTTTCTTCCTTTTCTTTATTTTATATCAGTTCTTGTTAGTTTTTATATTTTATTCAAAACTCTTAATAAAAAATTAGACAAAAAAGAAAGAAAGCTTCATTACAGTTTAAAGAAGTCTGTTGCAGTTCAAATGAAACATATCCAAAAATATTCTCACAAAATGTTTAGCAGAATTTGATGCACTGAATTGCTACACAATCTACATACACAAAATTTTGGAAAGCTCTTAGTTCCTAGGTTCCAACTTACTCTTATATAATTTACTTCTTCACACAGCACGTAATTAATTGTGGAATTCCCTGCCACCAGATGTATTACAGAACATCAGTGTTTGGTTTTAAAAAGAGAACTAACTATGTAACTAAGTTACATAGAATGGAGCCATCCGTGGTTCCTAGTCTTGATGACTAACTACTACTTTCAGAATTATGGGGAGCATAGCTTAAATATCAGCTTCCAGGGGTTAACAATGGAAGAGGGCAATATATTATCTGGCTGTACCTTGGTCAAATACCTCCAGTTTGCTGCTGTGTGACCCCTAAAGTGAACAATATGGGTTCCTCACCTGTTCTAGAAACACCCTTCTAGTTTTCTTATGGAGATACCAGATAAAAATCCAAATGACCACTAGATCCAGATGGCTACTAGATAGCAGCACAGAGATTTCTGATCTAGTGGTTATCTGGATTTTTGCAGCATGGAACTGGTAAACTCTGGTTCTTAGGTTCTTAAACGAAAGTCTAAAAACTTCGTTTCTCATATACTACACAAGAAAACAAATCAAAATGTATTCAAAAGTATATTATTATCTTTTCTGCAGTCTTTTCTGAGGAAAGTTGTGATTGGTCCAAGGTTACCTAGCTAGCTTTGTGCCTAAGGTGGGACAAAAACTCAT